GAGAGAGGGGTATTCTACTGTTGCATTTCTTCTTCACAATGTAGGGGGCAACTTGATTTAATAGATGCTCTAACCTTTCTGGACTCATTCTCAAAAATTTGAAGAAATACTCCCTATCGTGCAATCTTAACTCGTCAACCAAAATATGAAACTGGCTTTGCTGCTGGCGTTTCTTCAACATTTCTCTCACCCAAAACCTTCTCTTCCGTGGTTTGTTTAGAATTAGTAAAATTTGTTTTTTCCTTAACAAGGCAATAATCAATTGAAGTTGGATAGAAATCATCAACCTAACGTTGAACGCGGCCATTTTTTGCTTTGGCGGGAAATTCCGAAGCACATCGGCTATCATCTGCGATGATTGCCGATGTATGAGAACTTTCGACGTCTTTCGTGCATTCGCGCTCGCCGACCATCGGCGATAAGCGTCGCCGATCGTCGCCGACGGTTTACGATGAATGAGAACTAGGCTTTACAACACTGCTAGCAAGTGTCGCACACGTGATAATTCGTCATTTGGTAATACGTCATTGCTTTCAAAAAAGCTTTCAACACCTTTTCTACATCTTTAATTACTTTGAACAACTTTAAACATTCCACAAATGATGCTCTCGATTGTTTAATCCATAAATTTCGATCCACAAAAGCCGCAACAAAACGCAAAAGTTCGTGTTTTTCAGGACGGCATTTTGCTATAGCAAGTGTCATGGCGTGAGCATGAGGGAAATTTTAGGACACAAAGTCCTATCAGGTTACACATCTGGTACATACTTCATCTGTGACTCGATAGTCCATTCAAGAGTCTACTCGATCACAGAATAGATACCAGACCAGAAGGGACACTCCTATGTGTTTTGGCTTGGGAAAAACGTCGGAAATTTTTTAATTGCTATGACGCCATCCTGGAGTGCACACGGCACTTTGTACCTATGTTTGGCCTGTGAAAAACTTCCGTGTGTACTCCAGGATGGCGTCATACGATGGCGTATTTTCACGTCAGCATTCGTAAAATTACGGACAAAATATCGTGTGATCAGAGTGACACTTCTGGTCGCAGACATGTATCTATTCTGTGACTTGATAGTCCACTGACGAATTTGATTTGCGCACGCCCTTTTATACTAACGGTTGAAGGGATCTTTGTACACGTGATCGGACGAGTGGTGTGATTTGTATCCAGCCAATCAACATTGAGTTATAAAAGTGTGGGTTGGCATTGCTACAGTAGCTTGTTCCAGACGTTGTCGCCTGGTCAAGTCGATTCGCTGTTCAATCGATTAAGGTTAAAATATGTTCACAACTTAAAATACTTATCAAAATATCATAGTAAAATCTTCAAACTATACCTATGTGAACTTTACTTTACTTACTAAACTAAATTTACTTACAATTTTATCGAACACAGATTTTGATGACGTAATATTTTAATTGCATGACCGAGTGTTATCTATAGCTTGGGATGACTCATCTTTATGCCTAGAGCCTGCATGTCCATGTAAAAGGTATATGTTCATGAGACTACAGGCAGCTGCTTTCTTTTTAAAACAAATCTGCCCACAAGATAAACTATATGAGGAAACAGGTCAATCAAAACATGACATCTTCACATATACAACGGCGGCTATTCTAACAAACAGTCATATCCAAATGGAAGAAATAAATGAACGTTTTCCGAAAAACCGAAATATTGACTTTACTTTGATTTGTGGCAAAATAGCCATTATCTCTTGTCATTATGCTCAAGATAATATTTGCTTGCACAAACATTTCACCTGCTCTCAAGCAAACATACTTTGTTATTTTATTTTATTTTTACCTAAAATTTTATGTATAAGTGATAGTGTTTCGTGAGCAAGATTCAGGCACACTCGGATATCCTACAACCGAAACCTGAAATTGAAAGCCAAGCTAAAGTTGGACAAGAACTTGAAAAGACATTTCAAAATGATGCTCAAAGTACTTCTCATTTTTGCCGTTGTATACGCAAGCAGTATTGAAGCCAATTATGGCGAAAGTAAGCTGTTATATACATTATAAAAACTCTCTCTCTCTATCACATGAGTTGTACAATTTTGTTCACCGTAAAAATTCACAATATAGCTTGTTCATGAGCAGAGCAGACTGGAAGCTTTTCGATCTCGGCGAAGCAGAATTTATAGCATATTTAGTATTAAAAATTTAGTACGTAAAATATAGTTATTTATTTTTTATTTGTGCATGCCTAGTGATATTTTTTGATTTTCTGCAATCTGATTGCATGGCTGCAGTATAGGCTAGCGGGCAGCTTATTACGATATCTTGACCGTGGTCCAAAGCAGTCTGACTATTTTTTAGCGACAAACCGAGGAGTTTATAAGACAAACGCAAAATAGGACCCAAAGGGTTAAAAAAAATCTACCCTATCAATACTAAAAACAGTAAAATACGGTGACTTGGCTTCATTGGACTTCGTTCCAAGTCCGAAATGTACTATACGACCAAAATGCGAAAAAAAGTAACATAATACATCGAAAAAACACTGGCCAGTGCTATTCTGAGACCTCGGGAAAATATTTTTTCAGTACGGACCTCGCATGCAGCCGTGTAATATCCTCTATATATGTTTTAATTAAACAAGCCTATATAGTATCATCACATCGTATACACGTCCGTTTGACCACTATAGTTTTAGAAAGTTTATCATAAAATTTAAGCCCATGCAGTTCTTTAGAACTCATGGCAAACTTTTCAATATTCTGTGTGTGTGTGTTTATTTTTCTTTAGCGTGCATGCCAACTTTAGTAATAATCGTTAAAAGCATGATTCATGATTTTTTGCGTTAGCGCGCGAGGAATTTTAGTAATAATCGTTAAAAGCATGATTCATGATTTTTTGCGTTAGCGCGCGAGGAATTTTAGTAATAATCATTAAAAGCATATGATTCATGATTTTTTGCGTTAGCGCGCGAGGATCTTAGCCTTGCATGGTCGTGTCAGTTAAAACAATTTATATGCACTGTCTCATTAATGCTATTTTCGCTTCTGAAAAAAATTCCTATATAGACATTGCAGTACGCCTCCAAGTCGATATATTTTTGCGACGATTTGTTTCGCTAACAAATTGGTGGCCGGACTATAGCTTGCAGTCGGACGGGACAAGAGTCTTCAAATTGTCCCGTCCGACTCTTTAACATGAAACATAACAAATTTTTTCTTTATATATACAGATCATATCCCGTGCCCGTGTGGTTGGCATAAAATTTTAATTGAATGGCTGTTATATGTTTGGGAAGAAAACGGTCACTTGGGACACAGCTCGCGCAGATTGTTTGAAACGTGGTGGAGACCTGATCATTCCTACCAGTAACATCGAATGCGATCTTCTTAGTCAGCATGCTTATAGCCTTAGACTCAATTATCCGTGGATTGGTGCTTTCAGGTATCTCAGTTATCAAACTTTGGCATATTATTGTGCGATTGTATAAATCAAACACACCTATTGGAAATCGGCCCTAAAATTATGTATATATATGCTTCTCAATCATTCGAAAATTAGTACTAATATGTCGTGAAAATAATGGTATTAAAAATCATTTTCTTTTTTTGCAGACGACGAGAAGATGAGAAATTTTATAATACCTGTGGAAAAGAATTAAGTTTTACACGATGGAATGCGGGCGAGCCAAATAATCATAATGGCAGACCCGAAAACTGTGTCTATATGATTTCGCATGGCTCAGGAAAAGGAAAGTGGAATGACAGCAAATGCATGCCACAACCGCGTAGGATACATTTGCCAATTTAAAGCACACAGATGTGAGTGCCAACAAGACGCTTTATTAAAGTGCCTATGTCATGATTTGTGTGATTTATTATTTGTAACCGTTGGTATACTTTATGAAGAAATGCAATATATCTTTAAAAGAAAATATTTCATCTTCATGCACAGGTTATCAGGCCTCAAAGTACCCGGATATGACATCAAACAGGGATCACTGCAAATTAGATTTCTTTTGAGTTTTGTTTCTAGCGTATAAAATTCCCGATTTGATGTCATATCCGGTAACTTTGAGGGTTCACACAGGTTGTAATTCGTCGGCGATCTATTGTATTTTTTTCCGACAGACAAAGCATTTTACACACCAGTGACCACAGACAATGGAAATCCCCGATTCTTATGACCAGTGTGAACGAGGCTTAAGGCGGATTTCCATTCAGTGGGAAAAGTCGCGCGATCGACTTTTTGCGATCACTTTCTTTTCAAATGCGTTCAGTCAACCTCATCCGTTGCGCTTGATTGCTTGTATTTCAAAAGAAAGTGATCGCAAAAAGTCGATCGCGCGACTTGTTCCACTGAATAGAAATCCGCCCTTAAGCGTTAGTCGCTGGGTCTATTGCGATGAAATTGAAAGCTTTGCGTTTTACCCATAGAAATAATAGACATAGAATGCGTGCTCCTATCTTTTCTCAGTAAAAAATTTGTCTCCACAAAATGGCGCATTGAAAAGGGCATTTTGGTTGGTCCCAGACTCCTGAGGCAGGGAATTTCGCGCGGTTGCACGGAGTGCGAATTATTTTTTCAACTGAAAAGTTTGCAAAAAAATTTATATCGCGACTTAAAATGGAAAAAAAGTTTGGTAAACTAAGGAAAAGTGTCTAAAAACCCATTCCAGTGGGTTTTTTACGAAAAGCAATAGTTCTGAACAGAATATATGCAGAAATCGTCGTTTAAAAATAAATTTTCAACGTTATGTTGTTGTGCAAGCCAAAACAAAACACAAAAGATAATCAAGAGAAACTCAATAGGTATGTTCTACAAATATTTCAACTCTTTTACAATATAAATGGAGTTCAATAATCTTTTTAAACTTACACAATTATATATTTCATATTTTTCTACGTTGCTTGAGCTTGAGGCAACGCTTTTGAAACCACGGTTTTCGACGATTATTTTTAGGCAATTTTACAGTTTATCGACAACTATAAAATGTTTCAAGAACATGAAAACACTTCGTTTACATTGCAGAAAAACGAAACCCGACGAAGAAAGAACTATCGATATCATTTTGTAATCTTATAAGATATTAGCAAAACAGTTACGTTTAGAGCATGCAAAAATGTTTTGAGCAAATTATATTTTCGCGAAACTACTTTGCTTTTAAAAGGCTGCACGATTTTCACTGTTTTCATAGTGTTTTGTAACTGCACATTTGCTTTGACAGTTTGTGCCTTCAAGGAACTCAAAATCTATCCCCAAACTACAAATTAGACAACAAGACAAAACGTTTTGACGATGAAAACGTAGTTTTAGCTTTGCTTATACTTTGTAGTTTGCACTCCTGGCCAAAATTCAAAATGGCGCATTCAAAAGGGCACGCACCTGAAAAAGTGGAGACATGATTCGTCATTAGCACGCATTCTATGTCTATTATTTCTATGGTTTTACCCATGCAAGCTGCCAAATTTGTGTTAGATGTCATTATTTATATAGCTAGTCGAGGTCAACCTTTTATTGTCATATTGATTTCAAATACCTAAATATCAAACAAATTTTCTTATTATGTTGTCGTGTCTGAATAATACATATTTTTCTTTTTAAAGGTGATTAAAGCAGCAAAATTGAAATAAAGTCATGAAACATAGCTATACTGTAGTAAATAGTGCGGTATAACTTGTAGGCTATGTGCTGTAGTAATTCAGATATTTGCAGAAAAGGTGTTATATTTTTTTGCAAAAATACCTGATTAAATGTTTAGTTTGCAACTGTTCTAAGCAGTGTTGTAGTCCTGAAACGCTAACAAGGGGGGGGGGGGCTTAAAAGGGGAGGAGGTGTAGAGTGCAAGTATTTTACCAGGGCGAGTGGAGAAACGACCGCGTTGTTTATGTTAACACGGTAAGAAGAACCATTTTATTTTTAGATTTGTGATTTTATTTTCATATTCGAACGATGATTTTCTTAATAACACCACAATAACTTCGGAACGGTTAAAGCAATCGAACAAAATACTCATTGCCATTCTTTCTTCACATTAAATGAATGAGATAAAACATCTTAGACATTCATCCAGCTTGCCAGGTTTTCTCTCGTTATATAGTTAAAACGGCTGTATGTATCGAAGCATGCTTTCATCTCGTTCGGCATTATATAGCAAAAGGAAAATTCAACCAAGCAATATAAATGCAGACGTTCTCAACTTGTTTGTATCCTCTGTAGGGCGATCTGAACATACCATATTCACTAACGCTCAGGCAATTCCGAATATAAGCCCCCCCCCTTCCCGAATACGAGCCCCTCCGAGTAAAATATGCGCGAACTTGAAAAACTGTCTGCCAACAATTCATCAAATTAGGAGTGAAATACGATATACTATTTATAATCGTTACGCAGGACATCTTTGCTTTATTTTAAAAATAGGTACGCAGTGCGTACATGTTGCATGCCCTTTCTCTTCTGCAGAGGCTTTAGTTGCCTTTCCTTCCCTTCACCCTTTTCCGCCGCGCTCCTTCGCCCAGTGGCTCCGCCCCTGTTCTGAGATCCGCCATGTAAAGTGTAGTGAAATGTATCTCATTGTGATAAATCATAGGACAACTAAAGCACAGAATAGAGAATGGACCAGAAGTGTCACTCAACGAGTGCTGATGTGAAAATACGCCATCATATGACGCCATCCTGGAGTGCACCACAGAAGTTTTTCATGGTTACAAACGTAGGTACAAAGTGCTGTGTGCACGCCAGGTTGGCGTCATAGCACATAAAAGATGTCGGATGTTTTTCCCAAGCCAAAACACATTACACATAGAAGTGTCCCTTCTGGTCCAGTATCTATTCTGTGACTAAAGCCTTCAGGCCGATTTTTATTCAGTGCAAAATATCTCAAGATCAATTTTTTGCGATCTCTTTCTTTTGCAACACGTTCGGTCAACCTGATCTGTTGCGTTTGATTGCTTGTATTTCAGAAGTGATCGCAAAGTATCGATCGCGCGACATTTTGCACTGAGTGGAAATCCACCTTTATGGTGCGCAAGCGCTTATACATTTTGGTACAACTGGCCTGAAACTTAACATATTGATTCAATAAATTCAACATCAATATATGTATTGAATAATAGCTATTATGTCAAAATAACAAAACTTTTTCAAACTTTTCGCGACTGTTCATCTGTAGTTGCAAGGGGTCAAAGTTTTATCACTGATTGACTATTCGAAGTAAACAATGTTTATATTTTCCTACAAATTTAGCTTTATTCTGGCTTACTGAAAGTATAAAAAACCGTGGAAACCGTGAATTACTATCATGATTGAAAATAATTATTAAACTATAATCTCGACTATGATTGAAATTATCGAAGTAGAAACTTTTTACAACTAGATTTAACAATATAACATGTTTTTGTAAATATAATTATATATATTCATATGTATTATATAATTCTTCTTTTCCTTACTAATTCTCTGAAAAACACTCGAACTGACACGAGCTTATATTTATTGATATAGCTTAAATAATTAACCTAAGGGCCTAAAAAAAAAAGCTATGTGGTTTCTAGTAGGCTCCTAGCCCATTTCTTATATATATATATCTATTCCTTGTAAATGTAATATTTTGGGCGAAAAATATAAAAAAAACAAAAAAAAAACTGTAGAATGCTATTTCGTTGTATTAAATTTCAGTAGACAATAGTTCATGTTAATATTTACAGAATGTGATGTAGTTTGAAATTTGAAGTTTTACACACAATAACATCAATGCTAGCACAATGACTTCGTTTCAATTTGGGCATATAAAAAATTAAAATTTTGACAGCGTAGCCTTTCACAAACATAAACGCCTGATAATGCCGATAATTGATAAATAAATATCAGTGCCAGTACAACGGCACCAAAATAATAACAAATAACAGAATATAAGCTAAATTAAAAACAACAAAGCTTTACCTACCTCGATCTATTTTTCTATTAAAGGCGCTAATATTTTCTTTGCGTTTCCTCGACGAAAGCCGTGAACAAAAGCGTGCATATTAAAGTTTCACTCATCACATGAAAATGCTCGTCGTACTGACTCGGTATTTGTCGTATTTTACGAATCTGTCACGTGATTTACCACCGCCCGTACGTACACCGCGACACGAAATTTAGAGCTATATGAAAGTTGCATGCCCATATGTGGGCATGCAACAAAAACTTGAAGGAGGCTGCTCCATTTACTGTTCGGAGTACCAGTGGCGCCGTGGGAGGCTTGTTTTTTTTTGGGGGGGGGGGCAAGGGCTGTACTTTTCCGACAAACTTGAAAATAATTTCCGACAGAAATTTTTCTGGCGACCTCCGAATTTTTCTGACTCCGCCACTGCGGAGTACTCCGGATTTTTGGAACACTAATTGAATCGATTTTCGGAACACTAATTGAATCGATTTTTGGAACACTAATTGAATCGATTTTTGGAACACTAATTGAATCGATTTTCGGAACACTAATTGAAAATGGTCACATGACTGAACGTCATGTGACCGTCAGGACAGTCATGTGACCATTATTGGCTCGATTTAATTAGTGTTCCGAAAATCCAGAGTACTCCGAACAGTAAATGGAGCAGCCTCTTCAAGATCTTGGGATATCGTGACGTGATTACCGGAAAGGTCTATTGT